AGCTTTGCGCTTAACTACAAATAAACAAACAAAATGTACAGTAACTTGTTCGCTGTCTTTAGAATTCTTCGATTCATGCAGTAATAAAAGACTCAATATATTCTTTTCAAAAATAAACAAACAAAATGTACAGTAACTTGTTCGCTGTCTTTAGAATTCTTCGATTCATGCAGTAATAAAAGACTCAATATATTCTTTTCAAAAATTCCCTTTTCTGTCATTTACAGAGAGGAATATATAGTATACTTTAGTTGTCGTTATCTCTTCATTGTCTTTAATCAACAGATTTTCTTCATCATCGTGAGTCAAAAACGTTTCTCTCTGTATTAATCTTTATGTGTTCGTTAAAAAATAAATTAAAGTCGCACAGACAAATCAACATAAATTTTGTTGATATCATTCTGACGTATCTCTCTTTTAATCTGAGGTCATTGGTCCGAGGACTAACGCTTGAAGTACGTCGCTTTTAGAGAGTGTTCCCCGGTGGGACAGCGGTAAGTTTAAATACGTACAACGCTAAAACCTGGGGTTCGATTCCCCGCAGTGGGCACAGCAGATAGCCCAATGTGGCTTTGGTCTAAAACAAACGAACGTTTAGAAAGCATCTTTAAATAGAAAATCATTGTAAAGAGAAGGCATAGCCTATATGGTTCCATCCCGTAGACTTCTGTAATATTCCTGACCTTCTATTAACACACAAAAATCCACTGTCCAATTGAACAAGACTAGCTATCTGAGTTTGGACTTGAATAAACCAAGATGAGAGTGCACTACGCTCTTGGAAAGTTCATGATAAACTGTATGGCCCAAATGCCTAACGCAAAGTCAGACACAAACTGCCATGCGTGGCATATAGCGACATCATAACTCAGTAACGTAGACAATTAGAAGCAAGTAACTGAACTATCTTTTCACGAAGATGTCAGGTCGGCGGCAAAATAAAGTCAACTTTCTGGTCACCAAGGCTCGGTGTGAAAATAGAGAGAGTATAGATTGACATCAGGAGGTGGAAGATCCTTAGGTAATGCTCACAGGAAGATTTGGTAAAGTTTGATGAATGTGTGTTGTGGGAGGATAAAGTTAATGGTCTGGATACTGAGAGAAAAAATATCAACTCTCGTTTCAGATATGGAAACCTTTTTACTATTTGGTTTATCTCACTGGTTTCTGCAACACAAAAATTTTAATTTACTAACTCTGACATATGTGGCACGTGTTTACTCAAATATTAATTAAGTAATTACTATTACCGACTACATTCCACCAAACTGCTAAAACAGAAACACTTCTACTTATAACAGTACGCCTAAATAAGTGATTAAATTTGGTTCTCCAATCAGCTAACAAAGCTATAATAAGTTAAATGGAGAGACAGATTGTCTTTCTGTAATTTCTAGATATTTATTGCTTATGGGAAGGAAATTTAAATACAGACAAAACTTTGGTCATATTGGATCTAGATTTTTCTACAACGTCTTCCTTTTTATAAACGTCATGAATTAATCCGAAAAAATATTTTGGACTGCCTTGAATGTGAGCTATATTGGCTTGTTTAGTTTTATGCAATCTGTTGAGTAAGTTGGTCAAACAGGAACTTAGGTCATCAAAAAGGATGTATGGAAATAGGTTGGCTGAAAATGTAAAAATTAACAGTAAGGATTTATTTAAGTACATTAAAGGTAAACAAAATGTTAAGATTGGAATAGGACCCTTGAGGGATGATAAAGAAAGGCTTTTATGTGACGATTACGAGATGACTGGGTTATTAAATTCTGCTTTTTCTTCAGCTTTTGCTAATGAATATTTAAGCAGTATTCCTCATATTGAACAGTTGGTAGATGGCGGCAAGGGCGGACAATATGGCTGCATTAATTCTGAACATGTTAATAAAAAATTGGGAAGTTTAAAGAATGATAAGTCTTCTGGGCCAGATAATATTTCCCCAAGGATTTTGGTTGTGGTTAATGATTTGATATGTGAGCCATGTGCTACTATTTTTGTAAGTCCTTGAATAGTGGACAGGTACCAAAGAATTGGAAGTTAGCTAATGTAACTTCTCTTTTCAACAGAGGTGATAAAAATTGTCCCAGTAATTATAGACCCATTAGTCTTACATCAGTTGAGGGAAAATTTTTGGAAAACTGTTAAAAGATGCTTTGCAAAGTCATTTAGTCTTGCTTTTGGTGTTTTTCTGGAGAGGACGTGATAACTCTGTTTAGAGGGACAGTTTCAATGCATGGAAGCGCCTTTCTTTTAGTCTGAAAGACGTAGTTTTGCAGAGAAATTTCATGTGCATAATTGTTTTTAATTATCGCACATGCGCCTTTATTGTAAGCTGTGCGATCTAACGAAGAGAGCTAGCTCAAAACGTCATCCTCTTAAAATACAAATATAAAAAGAAACTTGTCGATTGTTTAACCTATTCTTTAATTTCGGTATATTTTTTGCCTTATGCGGTTCAATATATATTTCTTCATATCCAAGTAAACCATGGTAAAGGTTACATTATGCTTGTTAGAAATCAGTGTTTCTGACTTGGTTGTTAGACTTAAAGTTCAATATACGGCATACTTACCTCTTGGTCCCATCACAGAGAGCAACTCCCCAGGACGGACTCTTCCACTAACATTATGCAGGATTTCCTTCTCACCAAAAAAGACACAGACATCCCGGAAAACCAATTCTACGGGCTTTCGGTTCTGTTTCATGCTCCCAGTAGACATTAAGTCAATATTCTCATTGAGTCTACACAAATGGAACAATAAACAACATATAAATTCTGCGTACATATCCAGTTATTCATCTATCTATACATGTACGAGCACACCTGCAGGCATATGCACTTACAACGCAGTGTCTGAAACGAAACTTACCAAGGGTTGTTTTGTTTTGTTTTTTTGTTTCTTTTCCTTAAACGTTTGAAAGTAGTGCTGGGGTAAGTTTAATGTCAAAACTGATCCAAAAGCATATAATTTTAAACTAAAATATTATTTATAGACTTGCAGTATTAGGAGAACGTAAAAGGCCGTTGCATGAACATTTAATGTACTTTCATTATGGAAAATTATTAAGTTTAGCATCTATTACTTGACTTGAGATCTTTGTGAGACCTCTAAGGCTTATAAATTACCATGAACGATATACTAAAAGCTTGATATTTTAAAATAGTCATAAGTTAAAATACTGAAGATCTTGATCTCTGTAGACATCTTTTATAGGCCTCCCCAGTGGCTCAGCAGTAAGTCTGTAGGCTTACGACGCAAACTTCGAGTTTCAATACTCGTGGTGGGCAGATCATATACAACCCATTGTGTAACTTTGCGCTTAACAGCAATCAAACCTTTTATGTAGAGAAAATTTATACCTAAGTACAGAATGTAATGTACGGAATGTCCGGAAATTATGTTAATAAGTTTATTAGCTGCTTAATTCTGAATATGTTGAAATTCCTGTCGGATCCTTTGTCATTCTGCCTTGATATTCTATGTATGCTGCCAAGTACTTAATTGTTCTAATGAGATTTTTAGCTATTGTAGCATAGATTCCAGGATTCTTACTCTAACACATAATTCCCTTATACCCTATTGTGAAGGATGTACGTTTTACATTTTATTACAGTGAACATTTAAAAGCAGCTTTGTATACTAGACTAATCATTTTTTCCAAGCCTCCATTAAATGGCATGGCCAGGTGGTTAGGGCTCTCGACTCGCAATTTGCAGGTCGCGGGTTCGATTCCCGTCCCACCAAACATGCTCACCCTTTCAGCCGTAAGAACGTTATTATGTGACTGTCAATCCACTATTCGTTGGTAAAAGAGTAGCACAAGAGTTGGCGGTGCGTAGTGATGACTAGCTGCCTTCCCTCTAGTCGTTCACTGCTAAATTAGGGACGGCTAGCGCAGATAGCCCTCGTGTAGCTTTGCGCAAACTTCAAAATAAACCAAACTTCCCCAGACCATTAGATGGCAACCGTACGTATAGCATCTCTTCGTTAGGCCCCCCAGTGGCACAGCGGTATGTCTGCGGACTTACAACACTAGAAACCGGGTTTCGATACTCGTGGTGAGCAGAGCACAGATAGCCCTTGTGTAGCTTTGTGCATAAATAAAAAAACAAACAAACAAACAAACTCTTCGTTAGGATACACTGTATTTAAAATTTCAATTTGCGACTTAAAAAAAAACCTTTTGTAACCTTTTTAAGTAATCCAACTCTTCTGTGATATCAGAACTTTGTTCTTAAAATAACATTATTAAACATTAGCAGTTGATGTCTAACATATAGACGAGTGCTTAGCCCTAATAACACTGTTTGGATATATATATACAAATATCTGTGGCAAGGTCGTCTAAATGAACCTGAATTTAACTGTCGATACTTTGATACTGCTTGTTTGGGATATACGAACAAAGCTACACAAGAGTTAACTCCGATAGCCTTCCCTAATTTGAACTGGTAGACAAGAAGGAAGGCAGCTAAGTAAACAGCACCCACCGCTAACTCATAGACTACTCTAATCGAATAGTAGGATTTAACCGTCACTTTTTTAATGCACACATGGCCCAGAGTGTGGTATTGGATCTTGTGGCAACAAGAAAAACACCATGAACCTAGTAATCTACAGTCCGGCAAGCTAACTAGTAAGCTACGCTCGATTCCTTCTTATGAACTAAAGAAATATAGCCAGCTCAGAACACATATAGAATAAGAAAGGCAAACTTGAAATGACGTGACAAAGTTTCTATAAGAACATGCAACGTTTTATGCACTGATTACTGTAATGAAATGACCGTATCATGCAAGAAATATAACGTTTCACGTACTGATTACTGTATTAGAATAATTGTATCATGCAGGAAAATCAACTGTTCATCTACTAATTACTGTAGTAACATGATTTTACCATACAAGGAATACAACGTTTCACGTACTGATTACTGTATTAGAATAATTGTATCATGCAGTAAAATCAACTGTTCATCTACTAATTACTGTAGTAACACGATTTTACCATACAAGGAATACAACGTTTCACGTACTGATTACTGTATTAGAATAATTGTATCATGCAGTAAAATCAACTGTTCATCTACTAATTACTGTAGTAACACGATTTTACCATACAAGGAATACAACGTTTCACGTACTGATTACTATATTAGAATAATTGTATCATACAGGAATGTGAGCTGATATTTTAAGTCATATTAACGTGCTTTCTATAGTTCAGTTTTATAATTTGTCACTACTGTATAAAAACATGCTCAATAAAGCCCGAGAGAAAATATAACGAATTTATGAGCAAAACGTAATTTATCCTAGATGTCATTAACATATATATATATATAGGAAGAGAGAGGAAATAAATATCAACATACAGCAGATTGAAGTTTATCAAGTTTGATATAAAACTAACTAAGACTTTTGCATACGCTATGGCGCCTCATGAATTAATTAATCAAATGTCAGTGTTTATAAAAACATAATCTAGGCTTAGCTTACCCCCAGTGACTGTAGTAAATATATTCAATACTGAAGCAATCGTTACAGAGGTATAACAATTTATTAGACAGGAATATTGTAAAATTCAGTAGTAAACCTATGTGTTACTTTTTTTTTTTTGCTACAAGGTAGTTGTAATATACATATATGTTTATATTTACCTACTACAGGGGTGAACTTCATTCTCTGAATAACGACGGTCCGTCCCATTTCTGGGTCTTGGAGGAGCTTGATCCAGAAAACGAATCACTTCTAGGCCATAACTCAAGGGTAATAACATCTTTGTGGATGGAGACAGCTACTGTTTCATTCTTGCCAAACCTACAAGTGAGCTACCACATGCTAATTCCAAGACTAGCAATACTGAAGAACGCTTACCACATGCTAATTCCAAGACTAACAATACTGAAGAACGCTTACCACTAGGATAGAGAAAGGAGTGAAATTAAGTCTTCATTAAGTGAAATCTTCATTGAATTTTGGTTAGCTACCTAGAGAATGGTTCAAATAGATGATTTGATTGTGGTCTAGATTCTAGAACAACAAACAAACAAAAATGAGTATTGGAAAACTTAAAGCAAAACACAAGCTATGTAGGGTGAAAGTTAACTCACTCACCCGGCAATTTCTGTGGTTGCCTCGGTGAAAATTCTACTTTTCCAAGTATTTTACAACTTTTTTGTAAATGGCACACCAACTGTCATTTTTAATAATTTAATACAAAAAATATTAATACTGAATATATTAAACAGCGTTTTACTTTTATAATATAAAACGGGTAACTTCTATTAAAAGAGTAGAATAAAATTAAGATATCTTATTTTTATATTACCGAAATTTCATTGGCTTTAAAAATAAGGTCTTATAACTATATATTTGCATTCGAAATATATATAACTTTTACCAACAAAAGCTCATTTCCATAACATTGTCATTATGCTCAACACTAACTTACTGTAGAATATAATACAAACACTAAAAATTCTACTTCAGAAAAGTATTAATGTACAGGAAGGAATAAAATCTCGAAAAACTTTGAAATTATCAAAAGTAGTTTAACTTATAAGCGGTATAAATCAAACCGAAAGTGATACTTACTTCAGAGCACAGCAATCAGTTGCTCTTAGTGAATGTTAAAAAATGATTGTAGAGTATACGTCAAATACTTATCAGTTTCTACATACACACTGGGATATGTAAACAAGGCTTAATATACCTCCTTAGCTCAGTGTTCTTGTCTACTGCTCGCGAATACAAGATGAAAAATAGGCGGGTTATAGATTATATACAGTAGCCTGACTAACGCTGTTAGTTCGAATTACGTCACTTTGACGTCATTAAAGGGCATTCTTGTTTATTTTTGTTTTAGTTTTAAAATAATTTTCTGAACGTAATTTTTAAGCTTCTTTGCATATAAAGACGCCACGCTTGCCTTTTTTTCAGCTTTACTGCAAATATCAATAAAATATAAAGAACATTTCTTTACCTATATAATATGCTGCCGCTAACTGCTAAAATATAGGCGGTGACGTCATAACCACGCGTGCCCTTGTATCTAGTTGTGCATGTTTTCAAAGTACTTATTCAAATATTTTTTGAAATTTTTATCTTATCTTCAATGAGAAAGTTAAATACTAACATATTAGTCATACAAGCTGATCACTTGCAAATAACTGTGAAAATAAGGTGCAGATTAGGAAAGTTGATTACTGAGGTAAGTTTATTAACAAGGGTGAAATCTTAGAATGTTTTACCTCTCTACTCTACGTACAGTAAGCTTAATTTTGTTTACTTTGTACTGTTTCATGTTTCGGTGCTATTTTCACACATGTGTTATTTGTTTTTGCTCTTGCAGAGAATATAGACTTAATATAGACAAGAAACAACAGAAGCATTCGAGTTGTCCATCACTGAGAGCTATATGGTACAGATTCAGTAAGCACATCAGAAGTAAAGATTCTCTGTAAGGATTGAATTTTGAACAATGGAACATTTTTATCCTTTCATTTAAAAATATGAAATTAATTATTGTAGCAATTAGAACACTTAAGTTTAGATTTATAATTTCACATCAACGTTTGTTTAGTTAAAAGTAATAAACATAAGCTGCTTGTTCATAAAAAAACGCCCGGCATGGCCAGGTGGTTAGGGCGCTCGACTCGCAATCTGCGGGTCGCGGGCTCGAATCCCCATCCCACAAACATGCTCGCCCTTTCAGCCGTGGGGGCGTTATAATGTAACGGTCAATCCCACTATTAGTTGGTAAAAGAGTAGCCCAAGAGTTGGCGGTGGGTGGTAATAACTAGCTGCCTTCCCTCTAGTCTTACACTGCTAAATTAGGGACGGCTAGCGCAGATAGCCCTCGTGTAGCTTCACGCGAAATCCATAACAAACAAACATAAAAACTGCGCTTTTTAATATTTATTTTTAAATAAACTATCGTGCACTCTAAGAATACAGCATAACACAGTAACGATATTGAGAGGTTTGTGATTATATTTTTATATGTTAGCATATTTTACATTAAAATTATTTTATATAGAACATAAGGATTAGAAGTGTATAAAGGTTTCTTCTCTGAAAAATCCAATCGTCTCAGACATGGAGCAAAACAATATTATAAACATGCGCATGATCATGCGCACGGATATGTTTGTGGTCGATTACTGACCTCCGATGTTCACTGTCTGCAGTATCAAAAGAAATTATTTATTAATATATAAAACCAATTTAGTCCCACATAGTCCCTCCTGTTCGTTTCCCCAAATACCGATCGTGCGGTGTTATAGATTTCATTAGCAAATTCATTAAAAACTTCAAGAAAGAATAAAAAACTATATTACTACAAAATGCTCTGTTCCCCTTTCAGGTTTTTGTGCATCCTTAATCTTAAAACTTATATTTTAAAACATATTTATATCTTAAAACAATTTAATTATGCACTATCCGTGAGTGTTCGAAAGCATATTTGGCAATCTTATGCCAAGAAGAGTATTTTTAATTTTTTTCTCTAAATGTTTTATGTTACAGTCTGCGAGTGGAATTGTTTAATATATATAACTAATCCAAGCGCTGAAGATTTATGCCTCAGAAAGTATACCGACTTTGGAATAGCTTCAACATTTAAATATATCTTTATGTATCTTTTAATGCACCATCCATTCCCTGAAGAACAATAGTAACTGAGGGACAAGAACATCATAAAAATAAGAGTCTACTAAAAGAAGTCTATACCATTCCACGTTTTCTTCCAAATGTTTCATTAAATCTTCAGCACAGGTCTGTATGCCCACCCACCGACGACTAAGCGGTAATTCCGGGAGTTTAATGCTTAAAAGTGGGTTGTCTGCGGTGGGTTGGATACAAAATAGCCCATTGTATAATTTTGCGTTTCGCAACAAAAAGAAACAAACCAGTCTTTGTTGACACATTCCAATATAGAATTTTAGCTTCTTGAAAATTTCCGAAATGGCAAGACATCTCGCCAATAAAACAGAAGACTGATAAAACTAATTAAATGGTGAATTGCATACCTCAGAAGTGAGATTATCATATAAAGGGATAATTTGCGAACAAGTAGAAGATAATAAAATTTAAGACAATCTTCTAAAATAATATCTATTTGAAAACGAACAGTATAACCAAAAAAATAAAAGAGATTATGACAAATACGAACTTTACAAAATTTCATTGCCATTTAAAAGCGTTGCATAAATTGAATTGCCCATAGCTTTAGCTAAAAAGTTTTAAGTTTTGTATTCTTAAATGTTACAATTTACATGTAATTTCAAGTGTACCTGTTATCTAATATTTGACTTCTTAAAAAGTAGAAAAATACATAATTTGCCTTACCTTAGTGGCATAAAAGTTGGGGCTACTGTTACTTAAATAATGTGAACAGCACTTTTAGAACGCCCTTGTAAAACCCCGTCTGGCACATAAAGATATGAAAGATTTCCCCCGCAAATAAGCTCTTTATATGGGCTGGTAATTAATAACTGACAAAGCACTTCTCGTGGTAGCACCAACTGGGTTTAGATGTATGTGTAAACGTAGCTTCCAGGGAGAACTGGAAATTGAATGCGTAATAGACGCTACGCAGACGTTGAACAGGGTCAACAACATTCTCTCATTATCTAGTATATGCAATCGACATGGCGGAAAAACGAAATGTGCGAAAGGGTTTATGGAACGCTATTATTATTCATATACCATAAGTTCATGGTCACGATGCAAAACAATGTTTGTTCTTTAATGTCGAGATCTAGATGCGCTTCTTGAGAAAGCTGGTTTTGTTCCGTGCAATAGAAAATGCCAAAATGTATCAAACTTTATTCGATATTTACATTATTTTATCTTGTTTTGAATATGATTCATGTATACATCATTTATTTTAGTGGGGGCTGAGTTGTATATACAATTTGCCTTAAAATTATTCACGACAATTTCAAAATCTTTGACTTTCGACATACATCGTAATATCCTTTTGTATTGTGAGAAATCGTGTAGCACTAAAACAGTTCAACCATCAACATTTGTTATGACTGCTAGAAATAAAGCTCTAAATCAGTTTTCTAGCATGTTTTCATGAAAAGTGAAATCGTATTTATTTTGATCTCTATTGTGATTTAATTGGCAAATAGCCAAGTCTCAAGAATTCAGAACCCTTTGAATCCAGTATTAAAATTACATAAACGTACAAGCAAATGTTACAGAAAAAAAGAACACATCAAAATTGATTATTTCCTGTTAATAACAAGTTCGTATTTTCAATAAGGTGCTTGAATATTCTAACTTGTTAGTTGTGTACCACAGACTTTAAAATATACAATAGACGAATATCTTTTTGACACTTTGGGGTTTTTCTTTGCTGGTTGTGTTGAGCAAAATATTTGTAAGGTTTGTTTGTAATT